TGTGGAGGCATGCTTGTGTGGGTAGGAGTGCCCAGCCCACTGTGGACAGCCCCATTCCTAGGCAGGTGGTCCTCAGCTTTATAAAGCTAGCTAAGTATATGCCTGCCAGTAACCAGCATGCAACATTCCTCCACGGTTTCTGTTTGGAGCATTTCTGTTTTGATCTCTTCCCCTGTGTTTCTACTCTGGCCTCCGTGGATGATGAATTATGCCCTGAAACTGTAAGATGGAATGAACTCTTTCTTTCCCAGTTGCTTTTGTTATAAATGGTTCATGCAACAGAAAAGAAACTAGAACAACAGAAAATAGAGATATGACTACAATCTTTCCATTCCTACTCTCATCCAGCCATAAGGAAAAAACAAAACAAAACCCTGTCCTGTCCTGTCCTGTCCTGTCCATGTCCTGGGTAGCAGTATATGGCTTTTCACTTGGGCATTATATGACCATCCTTACTTCATCTGAGAAAATGTATAATACTTGGCCTGGTAGTTAGGACAACTGCTTGAGCAAAATAGCAGAATGATAGATGATAGATAGCTAGGCCTGATGTAATAGTAATGGAGTTAACACTTCCTAACAGAAGGAGGGACCGGAGGTTCTTGGGACTGTCACCTGGGATCCCAGGTCATTACTCACCACCAGCTACAAGGAATCTTGGGAGATGCTAGACTATCAAAGAAGTGGAAGATTAACCAAAGGCAGGTCTCCATCAGGTAGCATCCGTTATGGAGTGGATTTTCAGTGGCACGCTATTCTTGGGTCACTTATGTCCCTAGAAGTAGCCTGGCACCTGTGCTGTGTCACTAAGGCAAATAAACTCATCAGTTTGCCAAGCCAAACTTCAGTGAACCCATTACTTTGATCTGGTGTCATAGTCCTGTCTGGAATGAGCAGACATCTGTTCTTGTCTCTCTCCCCTGGAAAGCTAATGCAACAGTGGGTCCCTGGGGTTTTGATCAAGTTGTATTCTCCTGTTCTAATAATCTGGCTAGCTTTAACTATCAACTTGCCAATGTAGAATCACCTTGGGAGGAAAATTTCAACTGAGGGACTGCTTAGATCAGATAGGCCTGTAGGCATGTCTGTGGGGGGGTTGTCTTGATTGTTAACTGAAGAGAGAGGAAAGACCCACCCTGAATGTGCACAGCAGTGTTTTGTGGGTTGGGCCCTGAATATATAGAAGTAATTGAGATGCATCAGCAAGCAAGCAAGGTAGGATGTACTTTTTTCTTTCTTGACTATAGATGTGGCATGACTAGCTGCTGAGTCCATGCCTTCACCTTCCCTGAAATGATTCATTGCGCCTTAGAATTATAAGCCAAAGAAACTCCTCCTTAAGTTGCTTTTCATAAGGGTATTTATAACGTGACAGAATTAAAACTAAAACAAACATCCACCCAACTCACATGAGAAGTTAGGTCTTAGTTTCTCTAACTGGCTACCTATTAGCATTTATCCATTCTCTGTCCACCTTCCAACGTTCTTTAGGTGTTTTTTAGGTGATAGTACCAATTACCTTGTTCAGTTTTTCCTTTCCATGCTCTGTGCCCCTTTGTCATCATATTAGCAGCCTCAGAAGAAGCCAAAAGTAAATGTGGGCGCACTCCATCATGCCACACCACTGGGAGATGCTGAGAGTTTCTACTGAAGAGAAACATACCCAAAGTTTGCTTGCTGTTCTCCTGGTCTGGTCCATTCTTAGCCTCCCCTCCTCTCCAGATGCTTCATCCTATGTGTCCTTCAAGCTTTTCTGAGCAAAAGATGCTCAGACCCTCCCTTTACACCCTGTGGGTACAGTTGCCATGGCTGCTATGGACCACTGTTCTCCAGGAATGAATTCTTAGCAGCTGAGAACTCTGCAAGAGACTGGAGTTTAATAGATGGATTAGAGTTCTATCATGGAAATAGAGGCTCTCGGGGCCTTGCCCCCTTCCCCAAGGATCTATTGCCAATAAATGGTTGCTGGGGAAGAGAGGCATTTTCTTGGGTAGTGTAGCCACTGGAGGTTGTCCCTGCTCCTGTAAGTAACCACAGGCATTCTCATTGTGCACCAAGAATGAGGTGGAATCATTCTGATGGTCTGATATTGCTGCCTGGGATAGTTAATCTCAATTGCCATCTTGATGAGATTCTGATCCACAGGACACATTTATGAAGGGCTTTCTAGACAGAATTAATTGAAGTGGAAAAACACACCCTGAATGTGGGTGGCACTATCCCATGAACTGGGTTTCCAGACTGGGTAAAAAGAATATGAGCTAAGCACCAATATTCTTCTCTCTGTCTCTCTGTACCTGTCTCTCTCTCGCTCACTCTCTCCTGTCCTGATTGCAAATGCAATGTGACCAGCTGCCTCATGCTTCTGCTGCCAAGCCTTCCCACCACAACGAACCCTTACATTATGAGCCAAAACAAATCTTTTCCTCCTTAAGTTTCTTCCTATTAGATAGTTTGTCACCGCAACAAAAGTCTCCCTATATTGAGAGAACAAACATTTGTTAATCTCCCCAGAACAAATTTGCACAACAGGATCTCATATTGCATAGGTCCCCTTGCACTGGAAGGACCTCCTCACCTATCTGTTTCCCTCCCCAGACAGGAAATGAGTAGACTAGGACTATGTCCCTTGTATGAGTCCATCTTCAGGGTGCAGCCAATCAGGGTGTATAATGGATGCTCGTTGATTTCTGTTCAGCTGAGCCATTTCTACAAAACTGCATGTTGGGGGCCCTTCCAGTCTCATAAGAGAGCAAAAAACAGGGCCATGTTTATTTGCCAACATGGAAATAAGAAATGCTAATCAGAAAGTATCAGGACGTGAAAACTGCCAGATGTTTTTTTTTTTGAGAACGCAAGTCCAGGAAGACAAAATAGCATGCAACAGGGGTGATGTATATTTTTCCTACTGATTCCAAATGAATGTGCACTTATTAGAGGCAGAGAGAGATTTAACGGGTTTCTCAGCTAATGCTGTAATTTTAAATCCATTTAAGATAATTTTCTTTATCTTGAATTTATTTTTCTCAGTAACCAGGATACTTAACTGATTTGCACAAAACCCATTTGAAAAGAGAAATAATCTACTGCAAGCGAGGGCACATTCTAAATGGGAATAAAAGGGAGACACTGAAAATCTAAAGAAAATGGAGATTTGAGAAACCAGAGTGTGTTCCTACATAGTAAATAGGAACTTTCAATGTCCCAGTTTGGATGGCGAATGGGTGCCAAGCCTCACTCTCGGTGGAGGAGCTTTTGGCATTTGGTGGCTGCTAAGGGTGGAAGAGTCACACTCCTTTGGGTATATGAACTGGTGGGTTACCTATGCCCCCGTGGACATCCCCACACTCACAAGCTTATGAGCCAAACACATGACACTGGGGACATGTTGAGAGAGATGTGTGGGGAATGTGGGGCCAGAGATGGGAAGATACGGTTGTATTCCATTGTATATGTGTACAAAGTTCTCAAGAATAATAAAAAGACCCAATAACAACAAGAAAGGAATTAAAATTCTTTGAAAGAGAATGCTACAATATATATCTAGAGTCTCCAACATATTCCCTGTGGATTCGGAGCCTGAAATGAACACCAAATCAAAACATAGACATGAATGAGAACAGACTGATCAGTGTTACACACAACAATCAACCAAAACAGCCTGAAGGTACAACCGTAGGCATAATGATCCTAACAAGTCACAGCAAAAGCTTGTGGGGTCGGAGAGATGGCTCAGGGGGTTTGAAGTGCTTGCTGCGAAAGCGTGAAGACCTGAATTTGACCCTCAGCACCCATAAAAGTGCCAGGCATGTTGGCATGCCCTTGGAATCCCAGCTCTGGGAAGGCAGAACCAGGAGGATTCTTTGTGACTCACTGGCCAGCCAGCTAGCCTACCTGAGTCAGTGAGCTTTGTGTTCAGTAAGAGACCCTGCCTCAAAAACTATGGTGGGATAGAAGAAGATAGTTGATATCTATCTCTATTTTCCACATGTACATGCCCACATTTATCTATTCACCACCCCCTATACACATATGTTTCCGTACAGGAATGCAAACATTTACACATATGCTTGTGATATGATGCTTACTCAAAAGAAAGATAAAAGTGATCCATCAATTACTCATAATCTATGGAAAACAGACTCAATGATAACATTTTAAAGTTGTCATATGTCGGTACATGACAGTATGTACTGGGACACTATGCTAGGTATAGTATACACTGGGACACTATGTTGGGCATAGTGGCTCATGACTATAATTCCAACATCGGGGGGCTGAGGCAGAAGGATTGATCATGAGTTGGAGGCCAACTTGGGCTACATAGTAAGTTTGAGTTAGCCTAAACTACATGCAATAAGGCATTATCTCCAAAACCAATAAATAGATAAAATAAAGTTCAACAGATAGATGATAGGCAGATAGCTGACATATATAGATAGACCAACAGATAGATAGATAGATAGATAGATAGATAGATAGATAGATAAGATAATAGATATTAAAACATCAACAATTGCCATGATTAGTTAAGAATACTATGGCGATATTTTAAATTTAAAACATTTTGTATTACGTCTTTTTCTATACTTTTTTTAAATTACTTGTATAACAGTTTCACTTTTTATTTTCTGAGATGGTATCATGTAGCCTGGGTTGGGCTCAAAGTAACTACTTAGCCCATGCTGCCCTCCTGCCTCAGCCCAGAGCTCCTGATCCCCCTGCCTCCAGCGCTGGAGTTAGGAGTGTGTGCCTTCGTCACTTCTGTGGTGTTAGGGAGGGAGGCCAGGGCTACCGATGGAGCCTCTGCACCAACCCTTAACTTTTTAAAAAGTTACCTAATATTTCCTAAGCAACAAAAGCCCTTTATTAACCGAGACAGAGCAAAACAAAAGCTCCCTCTGTGGTTACAAATAGATGAGAAAATATCACAGATTTCGTCAAAGCCAGCCAGCTTTGCCAGGGTTGGGAGGTGGGGGTGGTATTGAGCTGTAACTTACTTAGTAGGACGATAATCTGGAATCGATCGATCCAAGGAGATCTTTTCACTGAGGTAGGAATTGTAGCCATACTTCTCATGAGGTCCTTTGGCTTTTTCTTCTTCAGAAGGGGAAAGGGTGGCAGGAAGGCCCCCTTTGCCCCGCCCACCATACCCTTCAATGAGCCCGAGAGATTTGGATAACCCTAGAAGGAAGAAGGAAACAAAGTTATTCCAACACACCTCCCCTAGATAATCATGCACTCTAGAGCTTCTTGGCACAGAAAAAAATGACCTCAGTTTACATATTCTATATATATGCTTTGAGAATATGTATCTAGAAGCAGGGTCTTACGTAACCCAGGCTGGCTTTGAACTCACTATGTAGCTGAGGATGACCTTAAATTCCGGGTTTTCCTCCATCTACCTACCTGGCATTCCAGGGCTGCACTCCAGCATCTAGTTCATATGGTAATGGGGCTATTTCTATGGAGAGAAAGGTTCAGGCCCGGCCGAGCTCTGCGCTCACAGCTGAATATCTACTGGGGGTCTCCCTCACTCTGCTTCTGGAAACACATGGAAACAGAGACCACCAAGACTTGAAGAAATGAAAACCAAGGAGAACCCAAGAAATGGGATGGCTGTGGGGTGTTATCTATGCCTGTCTCCCCTTTCTGTTTAAGGACAATCACAGCCAGTTAGGTCTGCAAAGAGGGAAAGGTTCCAGGGACCTCAGGGACTCAAAATAAATATCAGGGAACAGACTGGACTGTGGGTAGGGGGGTTGGGGAGGTACTGATGCAGCTGAAGTAGGAAAGAACAGATTATTTTCACCATGAGCTGAAAGCATGAGCCATGACTTGACATGACTCTTAACCTAGTGGTTTTATTTCAGTTTCATCTCAATGGCAAAGGAAAACGCAAAGCGTTTGAGGATAAATCACAGAGAAGAGGAAAAAAGCCCATAAGGGCAACAACCACAATACACAGAGAAGAAGCCTTCCATGGCAACCCTCTCTAAGCAGCTGAAGCCTCCAGGATGTTGGTGGGTCCCTATCCATTGTCACATTATTCCAGGAAGACCTTGAGGAGTAAGTGTAGATAGCAGAGCTGGGAGAGGTTGAACCGCCTCGCTAGGAAAGTTGGTGTTTATGGTTCTCATTGATTGCAAATGCGTAAGCCACTTAGTACACCTCGATAGCCTCACCTTACCCACGCTCAGAGACTTAGTCAAACACAAGCACTTATGTTTGCTTTTTAAATCATCTGGTGTCAAGGCAAGGCAGTGCACATGTAATCCCATCACTCAGAAAGCAGAGACAGAAAAATGAATTAATTAATTAAAGTCACTAGTGATAAAGCATTACTAGAGGAATGAAAAATGGACAAGAACTTAGCAATTCTTCATCATGCCAAACACTGTGACCATAAGACCAAGGAACCTGAATCCTGGTTGTACATCAAAGCAAAATAAAAATGTCTGTTCACACAAAACTCAAACCACATGCTCATAGCTGGCTTATGCACATTGCCCAAATGTAATCAAAATGTAATGTTGACATACAGTGGTGTACTTGGCAATGCAAAGAATAAAATGGCCATGAGTGGTGGCACACATACGACATAAATAGGATAGATATATAAATGATGATGGTGAAGATAGACAGATGGATAGATAGACAGATAGACAAATAGACAGACAGATAGTCAGACAAACAGATGATACCTGTCTAGATGATGGACACACAGATATATGATGATAGATAATAGATGGAAGTTGGTAGATAGATAGATGATAGGTAGATATGACAGATGATAAATAGATAGGCATGTGATAGGTGATAAATGAATACAATAGATATATGATAGGTGATAGATAATAGCTATCTAGATGATGGACACATAGATATATGGTGGATAGACATATGATAGATTATAGATAGATATGACAGACAATAGAAAGGTTGATAAATATTTAATTAAAGGTAGGTAGACAGATAAATAATATAGGTATATAAACACGGATACATGATTAGGTAGCCATATAGAAAGATACAGTTAGATTGATGACATTAGATAGATAGATAGATAGATAGATAGATAGATAGATAGATAGATAG